AATTTTTTTATTAAAAATAAATGTATTATTTTATTTTATCATATAAATATAGAGTTTTAATCTATTCACAAATTGTTTACTATTTAGATATATATAAAATTAAAAACTGAGACAATTAAAATGAGACCAATAGAGTATAATACATGTGAAACCCCAACGCCGGCTACCTAACTTCTCTAGACCTTCAGAAACAGAACGATCAGAGTATATATATACCAAACTTCAACCCAATGATAAAGTTGCGGGACCACATCTACCGATGATAGCTATAAGTAGGACCACAAAGTTACCACAGTTCCAACAAGTTTTCCTCACTAGTCGCTACCAACTTTTGATTTGAAGCAAATATCATTTTTTTAGCTCCCCAACCAGTCCAAACTAACTACAATAAACGGGCACCTGGGCTATGTACCAAAAAAAACAGGCACCTGGGCTTGTGGGTTAACTGGCTAACAGCTACCTTTAACGTGCGCTTTCGGTGTTCGTTGAAATCCCCATCCCCTAGAAATTTATACTTTCATTTATCAAATATATATGTACTTGTTAAAAAATAAAAATAACTACAGTAAACCACAATTTCTGTTTTTCTTTTTGAAAGAAAGGAACTTCGAGCGAAGGAGAGTTTTATTTACAGAAAATTCAAACCATGGTCCAAGCTACGGAAAACCGAATGCACACCTCCTACAGCTATGGCGGCAAGTGCAATATATATAAATTTGAGGAATGATAGAGAAGATTAAAATTTGGAATCAATGATTTAGTATAATTACATCATTGAATTAGTTAATGTATAAAATATTATGGGTTTAAAAAAAATAAAAAAAATTTAAATAATATAAGATTCATTTTTAATATTTTAAAAAACATAACTTATATCACATCATTAATTTCAAACTTTGGTCCTATTTATTATTATTATTCTATACACTTTGGTCTTAGCAACAAGCCGGGTGCTGAGCAAACGCATTCACACAGCAATTAGATAACATCTATTTATGGCTAAACCCACCATATTTAAAGCATGTCATCCAAAGTCTAGAGGGTTTATTTTTTCTAAGGAATTTTCTAACCTTTACGCCTAATGGCACATGTTAAACTTCATTAAATATAATATTTTTAATTAATCTTGCATCAATTTTATATCAAATTTAATTAAAACAAAATATAAAATGTAAAATTAAATATAATATAATATTTATACTTGAAATCTATAAAAAAAAGTATGAATCTGATATAAAAATTTGTATAAAATTAATTATAAATTCTATAATTAATAAAGTTTAACCTATGCTTTTAAGATACAGGTTAGATAAAGGCACAGGTTAGACAAATTCTTTTTTTAATAAATCAAGAGATCTTATTAATTAAAAGGTTTTTTAATTTGAGTGTAATTATTGTATTTTTTAATATTAATTGATTTTAAAAAAATAAAAATTAACATTTATTTAAGGAAAAAATGTTTATCAACTTTACTTACAAAAATTTAAGTGAAAAATGACTCCACAAAAAATTAGTGAAAAAATTCTTCAAAAGTACATTGTTTTAATTAATTTATATTAAAAAAATAAAATATCTTAGTTTCTAAAATGAAAATGAGACTGTTTTAATCTTTTTTTTCCTGATATTTTATTGAAATAATATAGTTTAGAGGTTTTTTTGCCTAATTCTTTTACAATATAAAGTATAAATACTAGACTCTTTATTTAATTAATTGCCTAATTAAAATGATTCATATAACATTGATGGTGAAACTAATTATGTCAATTTTTATATTTTTAATAACAAATAATGTTAAAAAAATGTAATAATTACCATAGATAAGAAAAATTCATAATAGAAAAGAAAATTGAGATTGCAAATTTGCAATTAGATGAATTCTTTAAGTTGAGCCATGAGGGTTAAGGAGCTGCACCTGTAGTATAAAAATTTTAAACTCTACTGTTGACACAGAAAAATTCAATAATGAAAGCGTTTGATGTAAGACTTGATTATTCAATTATCTCCATTATGCTTATGCTTACCAAAAAATTTAATTATCTCCATTATTTATTCAAGTCATTTTTAATCACCGACTATTAATGGTGTGGAGTTCTAGGTCCAACGCCAGAAAGACTATATATATATATCTCCACGAGCCTCCCCGGCCATCATCAAAACAAGCCCTCTCACTTGCTCTCTCTAGCCCGTCTCCCATTCTCACACGATCATCTTAATCCTTTTCTGCCTCATACTAAAAAATGGCCTCTATCGCCTCCCTTGCTCCGGTTATCAGCACCTCTTTCATCGTCTTCGGCCAGCCAGCCACGGTCGTTTGCTCTTTTCGCAAGGTAGGTCAGGCTTGGTTTGGTCTTAAACCCCAGAGAGGAGTACATCTTTGCAAGTCTACACACAAAGTCACGGTTATCACTTCAGACGGCCCCCATGAATTTCAGTGCCCGGACGACAAGGCCATTCACAGCGAAGCAGGGAAGAATAAAATTTTCCTGGGAGGTGGTTGCTTGAAAGGTAACTGCTATGGCTGTGCCGGACAGATTACTAACGGTGGCGAAGTGCACCAGCCTAAAGCCGTGAAACTTAATGATGAGCAGAAGGATAAGCATTGGGTTCTGACCTGTGTGGCTTACCCTCGGAGTGATGTTGTCATTGATACCACAAAGCAGGTCCCTGTTTAAAGCAAGGAAGACCATGTTCATCTGATGTTCGTAATTCTATATCGTTTTGCCTTTGTCGGTTGGGTTAGTTTGGTAAAGAGATTAATGTTGTATTTCTGAATTACTTATTTTCAAGGTTGTCCCATTTGTTGTCACAAATGAAATTGTAGCAGCTTTTTAAATAATAATAATATAATTATTATAATAATATAATTCACATTGCTATTATATACGAGGAGAGATCTACTAATATATAAGTTTTACACATCATATTTATATAAAATTTTAATTATTTATTTTTTCATTTTTAGTAGTTAAAATTTATCATGATTTTTTTAGTAAAAAAGATCATTATTTTTAATAAATATAAATAATTTTTAACCAAGTGAAGAGATAAATAATTTTATATAAATATAATATGTAAATTTTATGTGTAAGTAAATTCCTACTCATATATATAGAGAGATTAAAATGGATTTAGACTTTATTGCTTTCCAATAGAAAGCATAAGAGCACTACAAAACTCTAGCATGTTTGTCTCTCAGCCATTGGCATTATGGTATCCAAAACCCGCTTCACCCAATATTTATGTCAATGCTTTCTTAGCGAACTCATCAGCAACATTATTTTGATTAACGAGATTCTTGCCTTTTCTCTCTTTGTATCTTTCCCTTGAACTGTTGTGTTTTGAATTCCTCCGTGAATTGCTTTTGTTGGTCACTTACGGTTGCCTGTCTTGTGCTGTTTCTTTGATAATGATTTGCTTGATTTCCTTCGTTGCTGGAATTGATCGTGCCTTAAAATGCTGTCACGTCCCGGACTCTGGGGCATTCTAAACATTATATACTTATGAATGGGACCCATAAATACAAAAGATTCAAAATCAAATTAATTCATTTTGCAGTGCCAAAACTAATAATTTAAATTCTAATAATATCTCAAATATTATTAAAAGTAAAATAACATCCAAATAAATTTTACTAAGTTAAATTATGCAATAATTGCTAAATAGGTCTTCTAACTTTTAATATTGACAAATAAGTCCATAAACTAACTCAAGTCTCAACTAAGTGTAAACCAAATCTAATACTAAATCATCACATGCCTTGATTCCCAATGTCTCTATCATTGTTACCTTAAATGGTGAACAAGGAAAAACATGAGATATAGTCCTAGTAAGTGAATATTTGGTTCCCCCTTTTATTTTTCAATTAAGCATGCTAACAAGTATCATTAACACTAAAAAATTCCTCTAGGATGCTTTCCACATGTCTTAATGCTCATATAACTCAATTTTGGGAATAACATTTGCCCCCCAACGAAGAAATTTGAGTGTCGTGAAAACTTGCTTCATTTTATTCCAACATAAGGTTTGTATTAGGTAACTTGCTCTCATTACTAGAAATAGTTGATATTCAGATCGAAGTAATTCAGACCAATTAATGTCTATTTGAAAAAAAATTTGGTTAAATCTCCATTTTGGTCCCTGAACTATTTACGAACCCCCGATTTGGTCCCTGAACTAAAAAAATCCCTGATTTGGTCCTTAAACTATTGTACGGACCCCCAATTTGGTCCCCACTGTTTATAATTTGACCTAAATTGGTCCTTAAACTATTGTACGGACCCTCAATTTGGTCCTTACTATTTACAATTTCGCCCCAATTTGGTCCCTGAGCTATTATTTAACAGAAGGACCAAGTTGGGGTTAAATTGATAAACAGTATGGACCAAATTGGGCATCGGTACAATAGTTTAGGGACTAACTCGGTAGTCCGTACAATAGTTTAAGGACCAACTCAGGGGTCCGTACAATAATTCAAGGACCAAATTAGGGATTTCTTTAGTTTAGGGACCAAATCGGGGGTCCGTACAATAGCTCAGGGACCAAAATGGGGGTTTAACCAAAAAATTTATTCGGACCACTATTAGTCTAAATATTGATCGATATGGGAATCAATATGAGTTTTCAATATTCAGACCATAATCAATCTAAAAATTGTTGGCGGGAATATAGTAAAACCTGTGAAAACATTTTTAGACCAATTGTGGTCTAAATATTTTCAATGAAAGATTAATTGAAGGTAGGTGGAGGAGCGTTTTTTTTTTTTTTTTTGTGTGCACATTCCTAGACCAACAATGGTATGAAATATTAGAAAATAATTTTATATATGGCATTATAGTTACATTGCATTTTGGATATATGTAGACTAGAAACAGTTTGGAAAATTACAGCAAATGAATGTAATTTTCCAAACCAATTTCGGCCTGGAAAAAAAATGCAGAAGAAACTGCTTCCCTTTTTTCTCCCTATATGTCCAAACCAACTGTGGTCTAGAAAATTGCACCAGGAAATTGCAATTTTCCAGACCAATTTTGGTCTGATTTTTCTGCAAGCCATTGTCCATGCTGCATTTTTTTGAACCGGTTATGGTTCAAAAAATCTGGCCCAAATGTGCTCTCGTTGATTTGATGTAGGGTCAGCTTTTGGCCAATTTTTGAACCATTACTGGTTCAAAAAATAGGTAGTTTGAAAAGAATCTGCAGACTCCTCTTTCTTCCCTATCCCTTCACCTGTTTCCCATTTTCCCATTTGAACTTCTCATTTTTCCTCCCTTCTTTCACCATTTTCTGCACCTGTTTATTCCTCCTTCGTCTCCCCGTTGTCTACAAAGGTAAGGGTGATTTTCCAACAAGTTAGATGCTAGAAATGAGTTGCTATTTTTTTTTTTTTTTAATTTTTAGTATTTTCACATTTTTTTTCTTGAAATGTAGCACTTTTAGCCTAGATCTTACAATCTAAGCT